TTTGATGGCACATTTGATGGGTAGTTTAAATGCCAGTTTGATGGCAAGATTGATGGCTAGTTTAATGGCCACTTTGATGACCCTTTTTGGTGGCCAGATTGATGCCAGTTTAATGGCCATTTCGATGGCCAGTGTGGTATGAAAGCCTTTGTTGGCCGTGTAGCACTCTGTCAGCGCCCATTATTCAAATAGTTTTGACCACAAAACAATCAACATTATCTACATGTAATGTGTATCATTACCCGATTGGAGGCCAGTTTACCAGCCACTGGTATAGTAGTCTAATCTAAACATAAAGGCCATTTCACAATCAAGAGTGCGTTGGTGAATACCATGAGTAGTATATGATTATAATGTTTTTCCGTCTTGCACCCTTCTGACTTCAGGCATCACCTTGGCCGAGTACTTCCGTGACATGGGCTACAATGTCCCATGATGGCTGACTCCACATCCCGATGGCCGAAGCTCTTAGAGAGATCTCTGGCCGATTGGCTGAAATGCCTGCTGGTAAGCCTCCTTATTTTTGCCATTTTTCCAGATATTCAAGGCAATCAAGAGTTGGTTTTTGTCAGATCGTGGTTATCTTGTTTGGCTATCCAGCTGAACTTCTTGCATTCTAGAATAGGTTTAGCAATTATCTTGCATACTTTTAACATACCGGTACAATTACCTATCCAGCTTATCTTACATGTCTCAGTACTTAGCTCTTGTCTCTAATCCTTGTGTTTTTGTAGATATTGTATATATATCTGATTTTCTGACTTTCCTATGATATGTGATATATCATCATTAATCCTTTTGTTGTGTAGATATTGTTTATCCAGCTTGCTTGGTGCTATGATATATGTGATCGTTACGTCTTTAATTGTCAGATAGTTGTCAAGCTTTCTTTCATAGCATGGTTTTTGACTTTAGCGAAAGCAAGCTTACCAATGCTAGTCAAAACAGGGGTGGGCTGTTTAGGTCTAGTCAAACAGGCATGCAACTTTTCCTCGGATCAGCTGATTTCCTCCTTTTGTACTTCCCATGTGTGCCATTGAAAATAGAAAAACACTGTACAAAGTCTTGGAAAGATTTGAATTTCCTCTTTTTTTGGTGACTTCCCAGTTGCATGCCTGATACTTTCAATATACAATTACATATACAGCTTGTCTTAGAGCTTAGCTATTGTCTCTTATCCTTTTTTTGGGGTAGATATTGTATATATATCCGAGTTTGATATGAGATCGTTACATCTTCAATTGTCAGATAGTTGGCAAGCTTTCTTTAATAGTTGCTCAGCAATAAGCCAGTGTGGTATCTCGATGAAGTTGTTCGGGCCAAAGGCCATTCATGATGAGCATTAAGCGTCTAGTATTACAAGAGAGTTCGGTATATCAACAGCTAATTTGGAATAGTCGAATGATCATCGAAGGCGCATGAACATGCTGACAGGCAGTCGCTTTACGCTTGTGCGTTAGTTACCAGCAGAATGATGTTTGGTCGAGAGCGTGTCACGTTGCTGGTCTTAAACCAGGCATGCAACTTTTCCTCGGATCTGCTGATTTCCTCGTTTGTTACTTCTCATGAATGCCATTACAAATTGAAAAACACTGTACAAAGTCTTGTGTGGTTTGGAATTTCCTCGTTTTTTTTCTAAATTCCCAGTTGCATGCCTGCTTAAACGGATGATAAAGACATGACTAGCTGTCTTAAACACTTTTCCAGTGTCACATGAAATTTGGACTCCTAAAAATCCAGTGCCTAAGTTACCCTTTTATTGGTTGAACGTTCACAGTCCTCACGTAGGCATGCGCAATACTACCAGTGAGTCAGAATTGTATAGTCCTAAATTCACAACGCAACGCCCAAGGTGCATTATCTAGCTCAGCCCTGTCTTGCTGCTTAGCAGTTAGCTCAATGACATCCTTCTTTCTTGCAGATAGTGGTTATCCAGCCTATCTCGGTGCTCGTCTGGCGTCCTTCTACGAGAGAGCTGGCCGAGTCAAATGCCTGGGCAACCCAAGCAGAGAGGGCAGTGTCAGCATAGTAGGAGCGTAAGTAACTGTCAACATTCTGGGGACAGGTTCCTGATGAATAAGAATAAGGAAAACTTGATTGTAGTGTACAAATATAGAATAGTTGGAGGGAAAACAGAGCACATCAGTAAACCTGGTTCACATCATTGAAACTGTGTTTCCCGTGTATTGTACAGTGTGTCTCCCCCCGGTGGTGACTTCTCCGACCCCGTAACCACGGCGACTCTAGGCATCGTCCAGGTCTTCTGGGGTCTGGACAAGAAGCTAGCCCAGCGAAAGCACTTCCCCTCCATCAACTGGCTCATCAGCTACTCCAAGTACATGAGAGTCTTAGATGACTTCTACGATAAGAACTACACAGAGTTTGTGCCGCTCAGAACTAAGGTGGGTGTCTCAGCTGTAAATATCCTGATTTTTAATCAGTTCGCGTCAAGGACGTGTTAACACGCACTGGCTGTTTTTATACACAGGCACGGTTGACGGGTTTAAACGTCAAGAGTGCCTCGACTTGCCTTCGGGTGACGTCTAATAACGCTAATCTCTTTTGTCTTTTGTACACCCTCACAAAGTCTGTGGAGGCGGACCGTGTGCTTTGTACCGGATGTCAGTTCATGAAAACCAAAAAAACGCGGTCACTCACGTGCAACTGAGTGTCAGTTCATGGCATCGGTGACGATGTTTTGCTTGTTGTGCAACCTTTGACCTTTTAACCTTATGAATATGCATGAACAAGTCAAGGAGATTTTTCAGAAGGAGGAAGATCTGTCTGAGATTGTGCAGCTTGTCGGGAAGGCATTTTACTTTGCTATGCAAATGTTTGACCTTTCCATTTTATGAATATGCATGAACAGGTCAAGGAGATTCTTCAGGAGGAGGAAGACCTGTCTGAGATTGTGCAGCTTGTCGGGAAGGCATCCCTGGCTGAGTCTGATAAGATCACGCTGGAGGTTGCCAAGCTTCTCAAGGATGACTACCTCCAACAGAATGGCTACACACCATACGACAGGTCAGTATTTAACCCTCCGGCGCAGAATCTAGCCCTTTTGGGGACCCAATTTGGTTAATTACCTTCATTAAAAAAAAATTTCAAACCAATTCTGGTGATCTTCCATCTAATCCTAGCAAGAGACACCCTCTACGGATATATGCAGTCACCTTTAGTGTGTGACCCCGGGTCAGGCATATCTGAGCATGACCACCTGGGCTAAGGACCGACACAATTTCTGCCCATCCGGGACCCACCATATACACGCGCACAAAACATTTCCGACGCAATTTCTGCCCACCCGGGGACCCACCATATACACGTGCACAAACAAGGTCACTTGCGAGTAGACAGTGCACGGCTTGACCACAGACTATGTATACAAATACACCTCCTTAGTCTACAGACATGGCAAGATTGTGTTCATGTGGACACAGTGTTGTAGCCTCAAACCGTGGCGCTAAATATTTGGGTCCTGGGGGACCCCTTACTGTAAGTGTGTTACTAAATGGGCTTTCTGCGTCGGAGGGTTAAAGACAGTAGGTCTTGATGCATACCCAGATATGCAGTTCATGTACAGGGGTGAGAGTTTTCAGGTTTTTTCATCGGAATTTAGGACTTTTTGTACAGATTTTTCCTAAGTTCAGGATTTTCAAATCATCCCCTTTTTAGGCCATCAGCCTGGGGGTTTGGTCGGTATCAAATCAGTGCATAAATGACTAAAGTGCGCATGCGCTAGGCATACTGCCCCTAGAGTGGTAACAAGCATTTAGATGGACATTTTTGAAAAAAATAGGGTGATGACACCCAAAAAGCTGCATCGCTGCAATGCTATCACATATTTTCTAACTCGGGAGGGTAATTTACAAGGAGGTTTTTTTAGTCTATACATCATGTATACGTAATCAAGCATTGTGGCGTGTTTATCATGTATCGCCACACCCGTACAATCAAGTCATTTGGTGTGTAGGCTCCTTCCGTCAACATGCATAGTTCAGACTTTTTTTTCTCACTCAAAGTAGTTTTTTGCAGTGACGGCGGAGAATCTGACAGTGAAGATGCGTGTTAATTTTCGAAAGGAAAGTTTCCATGCATACGGTCCTATTAATGCTCATTATGGAGAACACGGTCCGACGACGTGTTCAAGTTTGGATTTATAATTCTGATTCCACACTTTCCTAAAGATTCGTTGTTCCAAATTCACACTTTGTGACCAGTGTATTAACAGATACACCGAATCACACTTTTAACAATAGTGTGACGTCATAGCAATGGTTTTTAACTGTTATGGATTTTCTGATCTGCAGGTATTGTCCGTTCTACAAGACGGTAGGTATGCTACAGAACATCATCTTGTTCTACGATCTTGCCAGGCACGCAGTGGAGACCACCGCCCAGTCCTGAGAACAAAATCACCTGGGCCATCATCCGCGAGAACATGGGCGACATCATGTACCAGCTCAGTAGCATGAAGTTTAAGGTAAGGCAGCAAGTCATTCAATAGATCCATGGGCCCATTTCACAAAACTCGTGTTATCTTGCGACTCATGTCAGGACTTAGGATGAGTCCCTGCTGTAAGATCAATATTAACTAAGATGCTTTCTAGGATCAATTTCATCTTAAGCAAGACGCATCAAATTACCTATTTAATAGCTATTCCATTTCTGTTTTTACCACTTGACATAACAGTCATTGAAAAGAAATGCGCGAAACCAATTTCTCCTCACGAAATTTAGCCAGAAAAATAACTCTACTCAATAATGTTCACATGCGAGGTAGTTGTACACAAGATGTGACGCATCAAAACTACCAACTCAATAGCTATTTCATGTTTGTTTTTTACCGATTGACAAAAACAGTCGTTGAAAAGAAACGCGCAAACCAATAACCACATAACTTTAGTTGGAAAAATCACTTGACTCAATCATTTTCACATGCAAAGTAGTTCTACACTAGATACGATGCATCAAAACTACCAATTCATAGCTATTCCATGTTTGCTTTTACTGCTTGATGAAACAGTCGTTGAAAAGAAAAATGGGCAAAACCAATTTCCCCTCACCAAGTTTAGCCCAAAATCAATCAATCATTTCACATGCATTTTGCAATGCATCAAAACTACCAATTCAATAGCTATTTGTTTTTTACCACTTGACTAAACAGTCGTTGAAAAGAAATGCGCAAAACCAATTTCCACCCGCAAACTTTAGCCAGAAAAATTACTCTACTCAATCAATTTTAGTTCTACACAAGATGTGATGCATCAAAACTACCAATTCAATAGCTATTCCATGTTTGTTTTTTACCGCTTGACAAACAGTCGTTAAAAAAGAAACGCGCAAAACAAATTTCCCCACATGAAGTTTAGCCAAAAATTGCTCTACTCAATCAAGTTTCACATGCAGGTATTCTTCACAAGATGCGATAGAGTCATTCTTGCTCCCCGTTTCATTACTCTATTTTTTTGGCTCGTGCTTTTTCTGCTCATACCCCTTAGAAATTTATAAATTCAAATTGGGAAAGTTTTCCCACGAATGTTTACAAGTACAAGTACTTTGCCACAAGCAGGAGATATTTTTGTTTGCGAGTTTGAAGAAGAGTACATTTTCACAAGAATGAATAGAAAAGCGAGTGCGAAAAAAATTAACTCATATGAGTGCTGCAATGCTTTTTTGGCACCAACATCAGCTAGAACCCGCCATATTGAAAGTTATACATTGTACATGTGTACGGTATATAATGAAAGAGCCACGCAGCTTCATTTGGCGAAATAGAAATATTTAAGAGTAACTGAAGAGCTGTTTGATTTTCGGTCCAAATAATCTTTCTTTTTTAAGAAATAACTTTTTCTTAAGCAATACAAAATATACTGTACATATTTCATTATGTATTGCTAATTTGCCTTTTGTACAGATTACATGTATGTGTGTTGATTATTTATCTCACTACATTTTTTTAATAACAACTTTTGTATAGGCTTTACAAGCAAGTGAACACTTTTTTGTTTCTTTCCATGTTCTGTTTATATTTTATAAATATTGCCTATTTTCTGTATTGTGGGGAATCTGCACTTTACAGTTTTCTGTGCTATGTGTAATGGTAAGAAAATGGCTAAAAATTACTTTTTTTTGGTCAATTGTTTCCCCAAAATAATTGCAGGATCCGGTCAAAGACGGTGAAGCCAAGATCAAGGCAGACTTCAATGAACTCGCCGAAAATATGCAGACTCAATTCCGAAACCTAGAAGACTAACTCCCTTCTCTCCTAGGAACATAGCTATAAATATATCCTAAAGACATGTTAATAATAATATAGTACTCTTATGAGATATTGTGATGTTATAGCACTTTTGATGCAAGGTACAGTATTTAGTTGGAGCAACCTAAACTTATGCTCCAATGATTATGTAAACGGGTTACATAATCAATGAATCGTAGGTTTTCACTAAATATTGATTGGCAAAGAACATAGTTAAGTTGGCCAACAGAGAGATTGCTGGCATGTTAATTTCCTTTCATCCACTTTGCTGTAAATTGGACCACATTGACATAGCATCCTTTTCAATTAACTGTCTGTATCTCTGGACGTAGGTGTCAGAAACAGACAATGAAAAAAGCATTGTGTTGAGAATAATCATTCTTTAAAGGTATAGTCCATCATTGGTAATTTGTGCATTTTGTTCGTTTGAAGCAACATAAGTGCTCAAGATCTAAGAAGGGTGCTGAACAACTAACCTGATGAAGTTTCAGCTCAGTTTTAGCTGTATATTTCGAAACAAACAACATTCTAGGATCTCGATTTCAAATCAAAAGTTGCTGAATCAGGTTTTGAATTGGGCCTGATTCGGCGTCCGAGGCACGTTCTCACTGAGCCGATTGCAGCTACGCAATGTCGTGCACTGGTCCGACGAATTATAGCAACCGCGCGTGCGTCGTGCTAATGCTTGCGCGCGCTTCACCGAATAACGAAATTAGCTACTAATTTGAATTTCCTACGGTGCGTCTTAAGAAGCACTGTTGGAAAGGCCTTCTTTCGTTGATTTCTTCAAAATGACAGCTTGCCAGAAAGAATAATTTCACAGGGAGTTAAGTCCCCTTACTATCGTTCAATCAAGTATAATATTCAACAAATACGCCAGTTACTTTTTTGGATAGCTGCAAATGATGGACTCTGGCTTTAAGCATGGTATAAGTTATGAAACAAAACAAGCGCTAGTATTTTTAATATTTTTTTGTCTCAATGTATAATGTTTTTATACACTGTATCCTAAAAATACATGAAAACAAATTCGAACCAGGAACAAGGACTGAATAATTCTGTTTGCATAGTTGTAAATAGCATTGTTTACAACAAAATAAACAGGAATAATAATTAGCAATTCAAAAAGAACAAAGGGTATAGTATAGGGTATAGGGTCTCCAATATTTCCACAGAAACCCTGATATTAACTCGCCATTAATTTACATTCCATTTTTGAAAGGCCTATACTATAGATAAATATTTCCACAGTTTTTTGACTAGACTGATACCTTCAAGTGCTATACATTTCAATATTAACAGTACTGGAGTATCTGACCATTGGTGTATATTTTTCCTGCTGAAGATCTTTATTGTGTCCTGTCAAACAGTGTCTGTAAAGGGAAGTGTGAAATCTAGGTTAGTTTTGAGAACAAACTTAATTGTCTTTGTTCCTTCTAAGTCTTTTGTTTGGCTTTAAAGTGTGATTCCTCTTAGACAGCTCGGAGTCATTTACCAGACTGAAGTCAAGCCTGTCATGCCAATAATACACTCGACCAAAAGTCCCACCTTATACTTTTTTGTCTAACTCAAAAACTACTGGGCACATCTTGCTCAAATTACGACTGATCAGTATAGAAATTCCTTAGCAATCCAGCCATACTCTTTATTTGGCCCAAAACAGTGATAATGTGTACAAATTATGCAATTTATGACAAATGGTACCGAAAAACAGTTGCACTTTTTTAAACGTGCAAGGTGAGTGTGAACCACAACTTGCACGTATACAAAAGTGCAACTGTTTTTGGTACCATTTGTCAGAAATTGCATAAATTCGTACACATTATCACTGTTTTGGGCTAAATAAAGAGTATGGCTGGATTGCTAAGGAATTTCTGTACTGATTAGTCGTTATTTGAGCAAGAGGTGCTCAGTAGTTTTTGAGTTAGACAAAAAGTATTGGAAGACGGGGACTTTCTTTTTTGGTTGAGTGTATAGTGCTCATTTGCAGTGTTTTTTTCTTAAGGCTCGCTCATTTGACCTTTATCATGCTGCTGAAGCAAGGTTGTGAAAAGTCTTATATTACGTTTTGAATACTAGGGATCCTAGTGCATTTTATACGGGAAGCACATTTCTTTACGTAGCTATTGACATAGACTTGATGACAAGTCGTTAGACTATAGTAGTTTATGTCCGTCATCAGCGCCAGAATCCGTTCATGCAACGTGAGCGCTACAACCATTCATGCCAAAGTCATGTACTACCGCGCGGCATGGTCAGTGTAATGCAGCACACGCATGGGATCGCACACGCATGGGGTCGAAAATGTACGTAGCGTCCCCGCTACTAGGACAGCACGCGGTACGTCGTACCCCCGCACAGAGCTTGGCAGTTGAGTCGCGCGCGGCAGACGCGATTAAAACCACTCATTACAGACTTGATTTCAAGTCTACTATTGACATTGCTACATACTTCAAATCCACCGGGTAGTTGTAAGGATTTGATGTCTCTTCCTTTATTAATTGAAGAATTTGGAGGAATTAGGATTTTGTTTAGGTTTATGCAAAAGTGGAAAGTTTCCATGTATCTGGCCATCACTTGTCACCCTGTGTACAAGCCCTATGAGGCTGATCTGAACATTTCGAAGTGATTTCTCAGTAAATACTTCAATATTTTCCTGCTAAGTTTGACTGCTTATGACATACTATCACTTTCTGATGGCTCATAGGTCACCGAAGGGAAAAATGAGTGATGGCCAGATATGGGATCTTTCCCCAAAAACTCCCTTTCGAGTTGATAACGTAATATCCATTTCTGCATCTGATCTGCTTCCATGATTTCTTGTTTTACTTTTAGTATCCGTTTTTGAAGAAAACTGTTCACTTTCGATTTCTTTTCTCATTTCTTTGTCTCTTCAGTGAAATATTTATTTATTTGTTGACTCATGGCGCCCACAAAATAAAGTGTTTTATAACAAGTAATATATGCAATAATAAAACTGAAGGACAAACGATGTGCAAGGATACTGCTGATCCTGCTGTATAATCTATAAAATTCATATATTTCCGACACCATTATAAACTTGAAGAAATTTGTTTTTGATCTTCTGAGTCACTAATTAGATGGCCACAGTAATTTTTTGTGATTGAACAAATCTTTATTACTGATATACCCGACATTTATTGGTGTATTTGGTGAACTAGCCTATGTAGCCTGTGGGCCACAATTAATTTAAATTCTTTATGGCAATTTTTTTTATCTAAAATTGTGTTGTCAGAATACATTGGAGGTACAAAATGTGTTTCTTTACAGTATTAGTTGTTAATGTGTAACTCCTCAAATTATGTGTAATAATCGTAAATGATGATAGTTTTAGCAAATAAAGTGTACATTGTACATTGTGTCGGAAATTATGTTTTGAAATTCGTTTTATTGAGGTTGCATATGCCTAGGAAAGTGGTTTTATACCTAGCTAATGATGATTAAAATCGATGAAGCCTTATGACTCTACCTTTGCCAAACTTCAATTCCTAAGATTATTGCATTTATCAAACTACAAATTGTACATAAGCACAGGTACAGGTGAACACCAAAACACCCTAATTTGACGAAGTTGCGGGTATAAACTAATTATAACCGTATTTTGATTCGGGATTGATACTTATTTGCTTTGACCACATAACCCACTTTTTCTATACCAAGCAAATCGGCAAGGTGTGTAATTCAGTCAAAGTCTCAGTTCAGTTAGACGGAAATATCATGATATAACGCATTGCTATTGGAATAACTAAAATGTATCCACTCAACCAATAATAAGCATAAGTAGATTTGAGGCTTTGCACGGTGGAAATACTAATAATGAAAGGTTTGCGAAAACACCATGCGAATAATTTCTCAACTAAGACAATGGTTCTGAAAAGAACCAGAGGTAAAATAAGCAGCAAGAGTAGGCGGATTCACATGATTTTAATACCCGACATCATCAGGAGTACATGAGTGCCACATGATTCAATTTATTTTTTTAAATTGAAATGAAACTTTAAACTTTAGCCAATAGGGCTCTCTTTCAAACCCACGTGACCCAGCCTACGTTCTTCCGGGTGCCGGAAAGTCAGCGTCGCCATTTCCGGGCATATCTGACATCGATTTGTTATTATTACAAAATGTATTTTAAACTCTTGATATTAATCTTGCGAAGCATTTTTTCTGAGGGGGGGGGGGGGGGTGGGGTGGGGTGGGGTTGGGGGGTAAATTCTATAGCTTTTGATTAGTAATAATAATAATATTCGGCATTTAAGAACGCTGCTATTAGTAAACTAATTCACAACGCTTACAGTGTTACCCCTTATTACATTTGCCTCACATTTTTTTTGGGGGGGGGGTGGGGTTAACTTTTTGATAGCTATAGCTTGAATTGTAATTAGTTTTGTGGACACCATATGCAGCACCTAATGAACCAAACAAACGGCACCTATATGTATAGTGTCTTCTTGTAAAATAATAGTGGGATTCATTGGAATCTGAAATATCCAGTTGAAATATCTCAAAAACTTTTTAATTCCCCCATTTTGAAAATTGAAAAAAAATAAAATAAATAAAATTAAAACACGCTTTGCGCAAAACATGTACAGCATGCACGGCACATGCTTCGGCGCCTGTATTCAAATTTTTCACGCGCGAGCGGCGCATGCGCACTTCCTCGGTCTCGTAGCGGTCGTCGTGGTTTTATTTGCGGGATAGATGAAGCGTTTTGAAGCCTGAAATATCTCTTTTTAACCTGTGCATCCTCTCATAGTGACCAAAGAATCTTGTTTTCCAACGCTCCAAGAAACATTTTAGCTTAAAATGTTGTGCCTACGGAGTATTGAATGATGTTTTTGGAGCCGCGAAAATATTGAATGGACAAAAGTTAAAACGAACGTGGCAGAAATGGCGGAAATGTGTGTGCATGTGCATTCAACTAGCCTTGGCCGGGTGAGTTCAGTTTTGTTTTTTAGGGATACGGAGGATTTTTA